GAAATTTCAACTGTTGTGTAATATTACTGCAAGGCGTAATGTAGTCTATAACAGAAACAACATTTGTGCAGGTTTTCTGTAGAGAGTTAGGTGGAGATGGGGAATTAAAAGCTAACTTCCCTCCCCAGACTGAGTTACATTAAAAGTTCAGTTTTATGTTACCTTTTTCCAGAAAATTATAAAAGTCTGGATAAGTGTAAAATCTGCACAATTGGGACAAAGTACCTGCAGCCAGATTATGAAGCTGAAAATAATTTAAGCAAATACATATGTAATTCAGAAGTCCAAGGACCACTTGGCCCACTACCTCAAACATGCAACACGTTTGTTCTTTCATTTACTCCTCTAGCATGTCTATGATTATTCATTATTCAAAAATGTTACAAAAGACTTTTCCACTCTTCTTTATGCAGCAGCTTAAACAAGGACAGAGACCTATTTCTAGCTGATTTGCAAAATATTTGAAGCTTTGATTTTCTTTAATGAAGAAAGCAGTACTGTAATTACAGTATTTTCAGATGTTCATGTAGAAATCTGATATTTGTTATTAATATATTTTCTTTGTTAAATACTTACTTCAAAATACCCCTTATATCAGGCACAAAACAGTGTGAATTTCTCTTCGCAGCTTTAGAAAAAGAAAACTTTTTACTAGGAAGCTAAATATATGAACTACTGTGCTAAAACCCCTTTAGTCTGCTTTTCTGATATGTTACTCATTTGTAACAAAATATCTTTTAATTTCTATTAAGATTTATTACTTTATTATTTTGTTCTATTCTCATCTTCAATACAATACAGTAAGTCCAGCATAAGCTTCGACCTTATGTGAATTAAAAGATTATTACTCTGAGATAAGATTTTTAAAGCCTATAGTCACTTTGCAACTAGCTGTCACTGAGCTATTCATGTACATCTTTTCATGTACGTATTTCCCCAGGAACACCTCAAATTTCCTCTAAATTATATTGAAGGCAATAATGACTTCATTTAAATAAGTAAGGGTAGAAAGCTAAGGGAAAATAAAGCATTTATCCTGCTTTCTGATAGCTAGTTTTAAATTTTCACAGAGAAGTCATGCCTGGAGCGTATCTTTGTTAGATAACATCCTCACAATTATAAAAGCAAATGCTTGAAACAGGAGAAAATGCCTTTGATAATACTTCTGCTGAGGGCTAAAAGAACGTGCATGACTTCTCTCAGCTTTTTTTTTTGTCAATGGAATCCACAAAACAGGTAACAGGTATAAAGAAATGCTGTTGTTTCTGTGAAGAAAGGATTAAGCTGTTTTAAGATAAAAATCAAGGTTTGACATGGGGAGCTTTGGGACAAGGAAACTGCCAAGCCGTTCTGGAGCACAGGGTACAGCTGAATCCGAACTAGCTTTGCATGAACTACTGCGTGCAGCCCGGCAGAGGCAGCTCTGTTTGTCAGGCGAGACAATTTACTCCACCAACTAGAGCCTCAATCTCCATACTGCTACAGCCCACGTATTTTATTATCTAGTCTAGCACAGGTGTACAGGTGCTGCCTTGCAAACTTCAAAAACATCAAAATGTTTTCAAAGTGATTCACCAGCATTTTAGCTGCATTTTTTGACAGCTTGAAGCATGCAGCCTTGGGACTGATAAAGGGAAGCTCACTGAATGATAAACCTTTTCTGTACAAGAGTGAGTGAATTTCAGGGAAGGGTGAAGAAGTGTAAACAGCTCGCCGTGACCAGCTTTGCACCGATCTCACACGGTGCCTTATGCTTAACTCCTGATGGTGACAGTACAAAGACACACTCTGACACCTTTACTCTGGCCTACCCCATCTTGACAATCTGAAGGTCACAGAATGAGTACAAAAGTACACGCAACAATCAAAGAATTGCGGCCTGAAGGAAGGCATAGTCAAGCAAGCTATGGAGAGCCGAAGGAAAAGCAAGTTTTCTGAAAGCAGAAGTCAGCTGAGAGAATACGCTCTGGCCTCATCGGAGAATTTGGAATGAAATGTCTGGCTCACTGCCAGGATGACTCTTATCTTAGCACATACTTACATGAAGAAACAGAGTTAGAACTTCGCTTTAGTATCTGCT